CCAGTGAGTGAGACAGGATTCTTGAATTAATTCATCTGGAATGCAGATCTCCTCTTCCTGATTCACGGCAGAAGTTGTATGGTTTGCAGTGAATGACTCAAGGGTCTGCTGTAGGAGGAAGAATAGCTTTGTGGTTAAGGCACTGGACCAGGACCTGGGAAATTTATGGCAAGAAAAGGAATAGAATCCATACTTTTCTGTGTGCCTTTGGGCAAGTCATTCACTCTCTGTGCCTCAGTTTCTCAATTTGTAAAATGAGAACAATACTTTCTGACATCACTGGGAGCTTATAAAGTGCTCAGGTCTTATGGAAATGAGCTTTGTTAACAATATCCTTATTCAGTGCATAATTTAGATGATGTGTAGTCGGTAAGTCCTGGAGCTGCACACTGAATCATGAGAATGAAAATAAATATTGATCAGGTGTCTTATTCACTGAGCATTGTCAGTCCCATTTACTGCATGAGCAGTAAGAAACAGGAAGTGATCATGTGTTAAAGACTGGAATATAGTGCAAGCACCCTGGGACAGAGGAAGCCCGCTGTAAAGGGACCAAAGAGTTAGGAAGGGAAGCTACTGGGAATGGGGGTTGTACCTACTGTCACTTCTATGGTATTTCCTTAGCAGCTGATGCCTGTGCATGTGCTCCCCGATGCTGCCGCAGCAACTGGTATAATGTACACCAATGCTCCCTCCCAATACTGGTACCCTGGCCCACTGGTACATGTGCTCCTGCCCTGTCCTGGGCCAGGTGGCTCTGCTGGGACCCCTAGTAAGTGGAAAGTGGGAACAGGTTGGGCAAAGGCACCTGCTTGCTCCCTAGCAGTCTGCCCAATCTCCTGTGCTACAGCAGTGACCATTCCAGCTACTCCGCTGGACCCCGCTCTGGTCTCCACTAGGGATATAAGAGTGTAGTTGACTAAATGATTAACTGATAAGTGGGAACTTATCAGTTAACACTATTGACTACTACAGGCAGCCCCACCCTTCCCCGCTGTGACTATGCATTGTTAGAGGCCTGGGGAGTCAGTGCACCAGGACACGGGCTTAGTCCCGGCTCACAGCAGTCCCAGCATAACCCATCCTGTGGCTCTGCATTAATAGGGAACTGGGGAGCTACGGGGTGTTTTGCTGGGACCTGGCACCAGTTGGGACTGAGCTAGTCTGCCTGCATACTAGCTCCCCAGTCCTCTAATAATGCAGAGCCATAGCAGAGTCTATGCTGTATGTCTTTTAGGCACATTTATTGCCCCAAATGATGACTGCTTCTTGTTCTTCCTGCTTCTTCACCCTGTTCCCTGAGCTCTGCCTGGGGTTTTTTCCTTGGAGTCCCTTTTTTAGAACAATTTCTCTCAGGTTCTCACAGGCTCCTGCTGTCTACAGGTTCCTAGTTCTCACTGACCAGGCCTCCCTTTCTTTCCCAGGCCCTGATGCCCTCTTTAAAAGTCTATTCTGGGTCAGTTGATACAACAGAGGTGCATTGACCCAGCTCCATCTTAAAGGGCCAAGTGTCATGCTGTAACAAACACCTTCTGTGGTAAGCTACCTGCACTCCCTTTTCTTCTACAATGGAACCAGAAAATCCTCCATGGCCCCAGTACTCCCAGTACTACGCACTGACCCTTCAATGAATTGTGGGTGTAAAGGCACAATCTCAACTCCCCATCCTATGGCCTGATTCTCCTCTCACTTACACCTAACATAGGTCAGTAGTAACTCTATAATACAGTTAATTTGAGGTAAAACTGGCATATATGAGAGGGAAATCTGGGCTTTTAATGAATTTAAGTTTGACCCATTGTATACCAGGATGCCTAAGCTCCACATATTGCTGAAGAGCCAGGGTACAGTGAAACAGGAACAGCATTTCTCCTATAGAATGGAGGAGGCAGGGAAGCCACCTGCTTCCCTCTCCTGTGCATAGAGGGAAGTAAGTGTGGAGAGACGGGTCTGTTAGTCAGTCATCCTAAAAGTAGGAGGGCAGAGTGAGGCTGACATTTGACCCATCTAAGCCACTAGAAGCCACTTGCTCTCTTCTCTTGTCCAGAGAAAAAAACAAAAGGTAAAAAGGGACCTGCAGCCTGTTGTGGGGAGAATCCCAGAACCTGTGGGGGAGCAAAGATATGGCTGGATTCTCCTAGCACATTTTGGAAGGAGATTGATGGAAGCAGCAGAGGCTCAATACAGAATTTCAGCACTTCCCAGCCAGGAACCAAAAGTGCTTAACCTTTCTCTTCACAGAAGCTCAAAAGTGACTCTTTCTGAGTTATAAAAATGGACCAAGGTCAGAGGGATTTCCTATTTCATCTGAGCTGTTTTGCTCATCAGTGTTATATATTGCATAGTAAAGTTATCTCTTACAAGAGACAATGAGCAATATTGAAAAGTGAGGCAGAGGAATGGCAGCCCTGGAACAGACCACTAGAAGCCTAACAACAAGTTAAACTGTTTTTACAGTAAGTGCCTATTTACAGCCATATGTGATAAAATGCATGTGCTTGTGGAACCCTGTATACATATGTTACTTAGGAGAAAGACAGCATTTTCTTAAAGGAACATACACATCAATATGTCACACGATCTTTATTCATGTTGCAGTTTTGTTAAAGCGAAAAATATGTATCACTCATCTGATATGTTTTCCTATGTTGTAATGCTAATATTATTATAAGATTTGTTTTACCGCATCAGTATGCTAAGCTTGTGTCAGCATTTCTATTACAGCCATCCCTTCTCAGGAGTTTTTGAATGAAGCAAGATGTGTAGGAGACTGGTTATGGACAGAGTCTAAGCCTAACTTGGAATTTATTTACTTCTCTTAAATCAAAGGAACATTGCCAGGCATTTAAGGACCCAAATCTGACTCTGTCTTCACTTAAGTCCTTCTTGGAAAGTATTTTGTCTTTGGGCAGCAGAGGTGCTGGTGGTGGGATTACAGCAACCTCTTGCTAAATAGAATACTTAGAAGATTGTTGTCAAATATGTTTATATCCTGACTTTTACAATACATAGGGAAATTCTTAAGGCACCTGCTGCTGAGTTCACAGATGAAGTGAGAATCTCAGCTTTTATTTAAAAATATCAAGTTTCTGGCCCTCATAGTTAAAGAGCAAAACCTGATAATGTAGAAAAACGCATGCCTGGACTATGACAACAGACTCAGGTTCCTGGGCTTGGGATTGCAGGGCTTTTTCATTGCTGTATAGACTTCCAGGCTCCAGAGTTGCATGGTCCTACAGTTCAGGCTCCAGCCCGAGCCCAGAAGTATAGACAGGAACGAAACAGTCCCGTAGCCTACACCCTGCAAGTCGAACTTGGCTGGTACAGGCCAGACATGAGTGTCTACTTGCTGCGTAGACAGTCTTTAACATTCCAACACAGGAAATCAAATAAAAATAACCCTATGTTTATTATTTTTAAGCCAATAATTTTTTACATAGTCTCTTGAGGATCATAGGACTGACATGATTTTTGAAAGCTTGATGTTGTTAATATTGAAAATACATTTAACAAAGAGAAACATGCAGAACTTTTTGGTTCTGTCTATACTAGCACTGTAAGCAAATCAGGAGATCTGAGCTTCACCATCTTTAAAAGCTACAGCATAGATAGACAAAATTATTTTGAATAAATAAATTAAACAACAACATCTGTGACAGTCCTAGGTTTTAACTGAAATTATGAGGACATAGTTAGGTCCCATCTGCATGGCAATTCTTAACCAAGTTAAAACTGGGTGTCTCTACTTCAGTTATAACTGTATTGTAGACAAAGACTTATTCCCACTCATGATAAACATGTGAGCCTTGAAAAGCAGTAGTCAGGGTGAACTGTACTGAGTTTTACTAAAAACTGTGTCATGGACACGTTTAAAGACAACTATTTACCAAGTATCCATTGCAAATAAATCTATCTTAGTATTCCATAAAATAAAAACTTCTAAATAGTTTAGCTGTCAAACCACATCTAATCTGTGTCCCTTTAACCAACAAAGTATTTTGACAGAATAATTTAAAATGGATTCAAACAAGGAAATTCAGACATAAGGATGAAATTCTGCCCTGAACTCCACCATTATATATCCCACCTAGGTATTATTTACTGCAAACGCACTGTAAAATTGCATGTTGAGCACAGTACTATCAAAACACAAAAGGACAGTTTCATACTTAAAGTGACATTGTCAAGTCTGGTAAAGTCCAAAATTTGAACTAAGTGCATGTAGTTCTGTATATTTTTCCCCCTCTGAACAAATGCTTCAAAACTATTTTCCATAAAAATGCATTGCCAGCTCACTAACTCACAAGAAACCCATCAAAAACAAATTAGCATTAATATGCAAAGAGGTCGTATATATTTTGATTTAGAAATGCATTTCACTTTCTAATGTCCAGAGCTTTAGTGTAAACAGTGAAAATAATTTAAAATGGGATGGGAAAGTTGAAACACGCTCCTAATTGAATGGTGTTGGTTGGAAGTGTAAGGCATACATGTTATTTTTAACAAGCTGTTTCACCCTTGCACGAACAAGTCTTTTTCTTGGTACTATGCCATTTTTCTTGTTCCTGTTTTAAAAATGACCAGTATTTATTAGATGGAAAATTTAACTTGAAGGGACTCAGTAAATTGATTCCACTAATACTAACAACTGAAATGAAGGAGGGATAGAGAATTTATACCCTATTTCATAAAGAATTCAGTCTGAATCCTATTTATGTACAGTTAGATACTGTGTTGATGGTTATATTAGATCAAGACATTGGAAGAAAAGAGGGTTGCTTCTATTTTATATACAAGCAGCAGATAGAAGAAGAACATAAAAACATAAGATATTAGCAGGTGGTGCCCACAAAGGGTTTTCATGAACCACTATGATCTATATACTTCTGGTCCAACCTGCCACATCCTGGAAAGCATATTTGTTGTCACATGTGCCATACAACCAGTTCCCTAAATTTCATGTACCAAAGAATACATACAGTTATTGTACTCACCTCCTAGGTCTCTTCCAACTCTATGATTCTAAGGTGAAGTGGTGCGTTATTTCTGAGGAAGCTCATCTCAGATTTGTAAGAAGCTCTGATTCAAACGTCTGTCCAGTTTCGGAATGCTACAGAGATGGAAAACTATATTTTGGCATTAAAACTGTAATATGACTAAGTATCCCCTCTCATCAGTTGAACTCCTTACAAAGATATATAAGTAGCATTATTCCTATTTTATAGATCAGGAGCACAAGTGATTAATCAGCCCCACCCAGGCAGTCAGCTCTGTGCACGGAGCCCTGAGCCTCTGACTGGGCGGGGCTGATTAATCACCTGTGAAGCTGTGCTGCTCGCAGCTTAGAGGGAACACTGGTGGCACCCACTTTGAGGTACCAACCCACCATTTAAGAATCACTGTGATAGATGATGAACTGAAGCTCAGAGAAGTGAAGAGAATATGGCCAAGTCAGAAATAGAACAACAGAAATTGAACTCATGACACTTCTTCTCCCCTCTGTACGATATGAGCAGTGCCCATTGACAACAGTCCTCTGGTGGGAAGGGAGACCCACTGATCTTATTTCTGGTCCTAAGTCTTGTCTGTTGGACCACGCTACTCTCTGTGCTGTCTCTACCCTATTGTGTGAGTATATGTTAGAACTCTTGGGCTCAGACTTGAATCTTACTAGAATGTGGCAAGACATGGCTGCCCTGTTTCACTTATGAGCAATTGGTATCTCAGTTATAGCCACCATAGCATGTAAAGCATAGCATAGAAATCACCATAGCATAGAAATCACCCTCAGAACATGGTATGATTTCTCAATTAAGTTGTCAGTCTTAAACAAGCTCCAAGTATTTTCCCCCCACAGATATCGCTATTATGGAGTGAATCTCTGCTCTGAAAATAATTAACATCACAGCCTTTCTGGTTTCCACTGTGTCTATTTGACTCTAAACATTCCAAGTGTTTTCATGCATGTTAATAAAGTGAAAACCAACAACTGCCACACCTTTACCTAAGTTCAATTTGTGGTTTTAATGCTTGCATAATGGGTGTGAAACTTAGTGTGTATAATTCCGTTTTAGATAGAAAGTAGCTCTTCTATACTCATTGGAGCTTCCTTGACACACAAGACCAATTCTCTGCATTTATTTAAGCACATAGCTAGACTAACAGGCCTGCATGAAAAATGCTAAACATAGTTCACATCTGGTCCAAAAACCACAATCAATTTATTGCTGTATCTGAAACATTTTCAGCGTCTGTCATATAATATATTTTCACACGTTTCTAACAAGACATTTTCTTGGATGTAAAATAGACAGGTATATCTGTCAATTCAATTTCATGCAAATGAAAAAGAAGAATTTTTGGCATGCATTATTATACTGTCTTTGGAGCAGAGTAACTATCATGTGAAGAGGGTATCCGTTAAGGATGCCAAAAGTTCAGTAATTTCTTCCAAACTTACTGACTACACAGCAGATTTTTTTTACCTTCCTTTTTCCATTTTGATATCATTCATTATTAAATGTATTTGAAAAAGGTGCACACAACATTGTTACAAAGCCCATCCTTCTCCCATTACTGGCAATTGTTTGTGCAGTATGTTAAAATGGAATCTCTTAGTCACCATGGTCTTTCAACCAGGACTTTATTCAAAGTTTTATTAAAAATTAAAAGGCAATAGAAATCCCATTAAAATTTCTTAAAAGATCCACATTTTCACCCCAATCTCTCCTGGGCATTTCCACAGAGAACCACAGCTGTATCAAATAGCTTAAAAGTTCTGCAACCCAATGAACAGGCATGCCAGCTTGCCCCTATATTGGCCCCAGTACAATCATTTACCACCTCATTTTTGGCTACATTAACTGCCTCTAAGCACTTTCTCATTTGAAAACCCAGAGGTTGCTGTAAGTGTGCTGCATCAGCACTCCAAATCAGGAGCACTTCCCCACCCCACCTGTGCTCATATCGGATCATAGAAGCTGTTATCTTTCTGAAGGGATAAATGAAAGGCAGTCAGATGGATTGGGTGAGAACCCTATCCAGGTAACATTCTGCATTTTGACTGTCCTCTCCATGTTAATGTGAAAATTAAGACAAGGAATTGCCAGGACATAATGGAGTTTATGCTTTGGAAGCATCCCAGCTCTAGCTATAAAGGACTTTTGAAAAACACAGAAAATTAGCTGGTACTAGTTAACAATGACCCACCATGGGAAGAAGGTCTTGAAATGGTTCAACACCTGTTCTTATCAAATTAATATCCACAAGAATTAATGAAGGATGAAAGTTAAACCCTTTCATAGACAAAGTACCAAACTGTACAGACCTGAATAAGGAAAAACTCACTGAACTTCAGTAGGATTTTTGCCTGAGTAGTAACTTCAGGATTTGGCTTTTCAGGCTATCCTAGATGCTGCCAGTGAGACAGCTCAAACTGTGATATAATTATATCACAGTGCAGTGTAAACTCACATTGCCCAGAATGGCTTTTTAATAATAAGGCCTCAGAAGTGGTTTCACATCTCTTGATATTTTTGGTTAGTTGAATTAAACTGTTATTATTTGTATAGTACCAACAGCATGCTGGTTCTGTACAGTCAGGTATGAAGACTTGGACCTTGCCCCAGAGTGCTTACAGAATTTAAACAGAAATAGACAAATAGAGTATCCTGTATTGGAAAGTGAAAAAAAAAACTATCAGTGAGTCTGGGCGATGAAGTAGAACACATGTCTTGTTACTTCCAGGATCTTTGTTTTATTTGTTATCAGTCATCTGTTAAAATAATAATTCTCTGGAAAGGGAAAATTTGGTTTGAAAAAGTCTGTTAAAAAAGGTGAGTTTCAAGCAGGGCACTTGGGAGGAATGGGGAAGGCATACATGGAAGGAAACAGGAGGACAAAATGAATGCAGTTACGCTGAGCTGCCTAGGCCAGGATCAAAATGGAGGAAAGGCCAAGATTAAAGGCATGTATCTGAACTCTTACTGGTTTCACTTGATTGACTTTAAAATAATTATTTTTGATGAATGCCAAAATGTGTGGATTTGGAATCAGGTCATTGTTATGGACAAGGAGCAATTTACTGGAGTTTACTGTAAAACTGTTTCTGTGCAGGGGAGAAATCAGGGTACAAGTGTAAGATTAAAGGAAGGTATGGAACCACATTAAGGCCTGATTCTTCTCACACTTTCTCTGTTTTGCAAGAATGGCAAGCCAGTGACAATGACTGCAGTGGAACTGTGCCAGATTTACGCAAGTGAGAGGAGAATGATGGTCAAAGCCTTGAGTGCACATATATGTGCACACGCGAGGTTGAGAGACTCTCACGATTTTGCATGCTGATGCCGGGCTTTGAAAGGTGCCCTGGGGTTTTTGAATGAGAAAGTGCTTAGAAGCAGTTTATGTAGCCAAAAACAAGGTGGTAAATGATTGTAGTGGGGTCAATATAGGGGCAAGTTGGCATGCCTATTTATTGGGCTGCAGCACTCACAAGCTATTTGATAGAGCTGTGGTTGTCCCTGAGGATGCCCAGGAGAGGAATGAATGAAAAAACATCAAGCTTTAAAGAAATGCTAATTTGATTTCAAGTGCATTTTAATTTTCAATAAAATTTTTAATGAAGTTCTGTATAAAAGTCTGTGATGCTTTAATTTTTCCTCGTACTAACTGACGTATGTAAGTAATATAAACACAGTGTGTTCTAACAACATTTGGGATAACTTTGGCACATTCTGTTATTCTCAGTTTGGTTTTCCTACAGTATTAATTAATGCCTTCATAAGCAAAGTCTCTCAACATATTTTACAAAAGTTTTGTCTCTTGGTAAAAAACAAACCTATTTCCAGTGAATTAGCTATAGGAGGTATGTTACCTCCTTTGAATAATTTTAACATTTGACTGCTGAACAATGTACCCAGCGGTGTGGAGCAATACCAATAAATGTATGGCACTCCCCCATTTATTAAGTTCTTTACCTTAAAATGGTGATTCCTATGTGCCTCCAAAGAACCCTGCTGCATAGGCATCTGAAAATGGGGGAACTAAGTTTGCGGTCAAGAGCAGCTATATCATAGAGAATTTGTATAATACAATATAATTTAATTGAAGGAACACATATTTAAGTATGTGACATTGTGTTGAAGTAAAGGATTCGCTGAACGTTCTTCAGAGATTTTGGGGTACTTCATTTGAGATTCCTTAAAGGGGCCTGGTTCTTGAAAAGTTCTGACCATACACTCTCTGGGTATGTCTACACTACCCTCCTAGTTCGAACTAGGAGGGTAGTGTAGACATACCCATAGAGCCTATAGTAGAACATGGGAGTAAAGGAACTAAGGAGTCAGCATCAGTATGACTGATACACACTGATAAAAGAGGAATTCCTTTATGGTAGAAATTAGGTTAGCAACATACCCTAGTAACTTTCATGCTTTAAGACAGGGCATGCTCAGCTTTGTGTTTTTGAAGGACTTTAAGGTTCCCATTCACTAGTGAGCTTTTAAAAGAAAGGCACAGTGACTTCCAAGTCCACGTTATTCAAGAAAGTGCAGAATTAATGGGTTACAGAAAGTCACCTGTGGAATGAACAGATTTTATCTGTCTGAAAACACTGTAATATGTGTTACAAAGATTTATAACTTCCCTAAAAGTTAGAAAGTTTGGCTTTCTTCATCTTCTGAGAAAGCTAACCTATAGGAGAAAGCAAAACCATGCGGAAATGGGAACACTCACATCTATTTACACATCTGCAGCCTTTTGGGACATCTGACATTCAATAAGAAAATTCTCACGTTTTTCCTCCCCCTTAAGCCATAAATAGTTAAGACAAGGTCCTCACCTGTCTTAAATTTTGTCAGTGCACTATAAATAGGTCACAAACAGTCAGGAACTAACTTCAAAGACTGTCAATGGCATGGACTGCAGCTGTATTGAACAGGATGGCGGAGGAGCAGGTGAAGAGGTCAGTACATTGTCCATACGTAATCCTGGGATGTGTAGATTCAGATTGCATGGAGAATAAAATATTGGCAAGTGGTTTAATGACCTGTTATGATTTAAAGAACAAGTTCGAGCATTTCACATGAAGCAAACGTGCTTTGCGAGTCCATATCAGATTAGAAGTTGTATAATATTGTTATGCTACAAGCATAAACCAAACACCTTACAGTCAGCAAGACTCTAGAAAACATGCCCATTCCTTTGGTTCACCCTGGTCATTACCCATGAACTTGCAGCAGCAGCAAATCAAACCAACAAGGTTTTAGGCTGCTAAGTATTCCAAATAAACTGGGTTGATCTATTTTCCCTTAGATTCCATGTGTGCACTTTATAAAAGGCTACTATTCTATAAATTGTAAAAATTATTGTTCAGCACAGATACATCAGCTGTTCAGCCTCCAGTATCTGTCCTGGGTACAGTTATCAGCAATGAGAAGTCAGTGTTGGTCAACAGTTTACATACTGTGTTGTAGAAAGTACCAGAACTAGTATCTCCTCTAAGTTTGAGGAGATAATGATGTCACTTTTGTTTTATTGAGGTTCAGAGTTAGTCCTAGGTGTTTGTAAGCTTCAGAGAAGCACAGTCACCTGCATACTAGAGTTTGGTTATTGTTGCCGATATTATTTTAGTTCAGGAATGGAGGAGGTGAGAAAGGTTGAAGAGCTTGCCATCAGTCCAATACTGAATGTCAATGCCCTGTAGTAGATGGTCTTGGAGTACTGTTTTCATAGCTGCTGAGAAAAGGGTGGGAACCAATACCCAGCCTTGTTTGCTATCCAAACTGATGTAAAAGGGCTCAAAGGTAGAGCCATGCACAGAACAGAGGCAGTCATCTGGTCGTGGAGGAGTCTTACCTTGGGCAGCCGAACTTTGACATGATTTTCCACAGAGCCTCATGGTTGACACAGTCAAAGGCTTTGGTCAGATCGATAAAGGTCATGTACAGCTCCTGGAATAGTGATAGAGATGCAGCCGTGTTATAAAACAGTCATCAGGCTCTCTCACTGAGAGAAAACTGTTTGCCATTTTAACCAGACTGACCATTCTCTCAATGATCTTAAAACATGCATATTGCTTCAAAGAGATTTTAACTCCAGACTTCAAAGAGAAGCCTCAGAACTGTCATTCATGCTTAAATTTGACACTTTACATATGGGTGAGATAATTAGCATCTTTGTTAAGACCCATTACAAAGATAGCTTCCCCAATTATCACCTTTAATGTCATTACCTCACAGACACTAACCTTCCCCCCTTACCCCGCCTCTGTTCTAAAATCTGATTTGTCAATTTTATATGTGTTCACTTTTTTTTTTTTAATTGTATCACTTTGGTAAATATGGTCGTGCCAATTTTCTTCCACAATTTGATCTGAGGAAGTGGGTCTGGCCCACGAAAGCTCATCACCTAATAAACCATCTTGTTAGTCTTTAAAGTACTGCATAGTCCTGTCTTTTGTTTCATGTACAGCTCCTGGTTTCCTTGGTAATTTTCCAGGATCTGCTTTGGCTTGGTGATGGTCTGAAACCACATGGGGACTCTGGAAGTGCTTCCTCTACCAGAGGGAGTGGGTGATTCAATAAGATTCTAGAAAGAGCCTTCCCAATGATGGACAGAAGGGCAATGGCTCAATAGTTGCCACAATCAACCTTGTCTCCCTTTTTGCGAATAAGTCAGCAGGGATTTCTTTGGTGCACAAGATTTTAGAGGGAGCAGCAAATAAAGCTCGTTAATCAGTGTTTCTCTCCACAGACACACTTTCAGTACTTCAGATGGTATGCTACCAGGATCTGGTGCTTTATTGTTTTTCATTTGTTTAATTGCTTTGAAGACCTCCTCAGATGTCAGTGAGTTGGCAAGAATTTCCCAGATTGGGTGCTGAGAGATGGTATTGATGGTGTCATCAGTCATAGTTGTTTCTCAATTTAGAAGCTTTTGGTAGCGTTCCTTCCAGAGCTCTTTGATGGACTATCTTTAAGAAGGGTACTGCTATCTTTGGATCTTACAGGTGTGAGGTCATATGAGCTTTATGCACAGGGTCTTTATCTCACAACAACAACAACAAAAGTTCCACATATCATGTCTGTTAGCGAATGTTTGGATTTCTTTTGCTTTGTCCTCCCACCATTTGATTTTGATTCATTAGATCTTCCTTTGAACTGCAGCTTTGAGCTGATGGAAAAAGCTCTGTTTCTGACTGGATAGTGGTTGTTTTTGCCATTCAAAGAAAGCTTTTCTCTTCTAGTCCAAAAAGGGCTATAACCTCAATGTTGCTGTTGTCAAACCAGCCCTGATAGTGGTAGGTAGCAAGGCTAATGGATTCCCCACAAGCTTTCTGGATGGTCTGTTTTAGGGCTTTCCAGTCTTCTTTGACACTTGTGTTGTCATTTCTAGGGGTGCATATGGTCCGTTTTTCACTGAGGAGTGTTTGGAAGTTCACTAGGTGCACTGAAGATTGAAGGCTTTAGATGCTATATTGCTGTCTTTGTGATTTGGATTGCTTTTTATACTTCTGGGCAATCCTGATGGTCATGACTGACCTCATCTGATGGTAGTCAGTGCAGTAATCATCAGTTCCTCTCCTGAGATGGGTGATTTGAACATTTCTTAGATCCTGTGTTCTTACAGTGACATAGTCTAGGAGGTGCCACTGTTTTGAGCAAGGCCGTTGCTAAGTTTTTTTGTACCTGTTGCTTTTTCTGAAGAGTGTGTTTGTGATCACAAGGTCATGCTCTGTACATTTGCTGAGTAGAAGGATGCCTTTGGCATTGATCTTGTCTACTCCTTCATTCCCAGTGGTGCTATTCCATATGTAAGAATCTTGGCTAACTTTTGCATTAAAGTCTCCTAAAAGGATTATCTTACCTGTTTTTTAAATGGATGATAAAATTTTGTCAAGGACAGTGTAAGCAGTCCTATTTAGTGGTCAGAGCAGTGGTGCTCAGACCTACGGATCATATCAAGATTTGGGAGCCTGGAACAGGAGCCAAGTCAGAGAAAGTCAGGCAACAACCCAAGGGTCAGAACCAGAGTCAGGAGCCAGCAGTAAAACACAGAAACAGGGAAGGCAGCTGAGCAGGAGCCAGGAACAAGGCATGGATCTGCAACAAGATGGGAAGGTAGGGCTCCGGAGTCAGGCATGAACTGTATCTGTCGACAAAGCCTCTGTCGAAAAAAGCCTGTAGTCTAGACATACCCATAGTGACTGGACTCTTCTCTTGCTCTTCATGTATTTACCATGTCAAATTTGCTGTCCAGGGGCCGTGTAAGGAAGGCTGAAAGGCAGCTTCCAGATCTATAGGTGTCACATGACTAAACAAAGAACCTTTATCTTCGAGATGGGAAATCTGACACTGTTCTCCAGCAGTAACTTCACTACAACCCTTTTAAGAGTCCACAGCAAACTGCACTATAGCCAGGCCCCTCAAACCATTAATGCAGACGTTGAACAGACTTTTCTGACTTCAATATTAGTGTGGCTGGTAAACAATCAATGAAATTAAAATCGCAGCCCAGAAAATACCCTGTGTGTGGATTAATGCTACAGATACATAAGATGAGCTCATGAAAAGATATAGCAGGAACATCTCAAAACACCCAGAAATTAAATATCTTTAAGGGAAAAAAAGACTTCAGATCTGATTCTGATCTCACCCTGCTGTAACTCAGGAGTCACTCCACTTACTCCAGTGGTACAAGTGAAATCAGTGTCTGACCCTTCATTTTAAGGGAAGAATTATTTTTCTCCCTTCTTTCCAACTTGAAGCAGTGCATCAGGCATCCAGCTGGCTGCAGTCTATAAAAAAGGATTTCTTTACACAAAACCAACCCTTCTCTCCTTGAAATCCCCTTCCCTGCAGTAAAACACTTTAAAAAAAAGTGTGCACAGTATTTTTGTTGGGGTTTGCCCAGTTGTCCCAGACATAATATAGACTGTCTCCTAGTCCAAGAGCAACTCAAATGGTCACTGCAAAGTCAGTAAATTCAGACACTTATTGCACAGAGTAATGAGAGGAGTATCTTGTGAAACAAGAGAGAAGTCTTTTATCTTCTCATATTCAAATCACCTGCTGTGGATAAAGAATTAGTGAGTAAATAACCACATGTCATCGGTTTGGAATCTGAAGATACCTCTTTCTGAAAGTTACTATATTTAGGCTTCCTACAGTTTTCAGCCCAGTCTGCACCTTTCCAGAAAACTGAGCAATTCCCAAAAGTTTTATACATCTGTAAGTTTTGTTACATGTGCCACTCCTGGAAACGTTCCTCATCATCTTGGCTCAGATGTGTGCTAGAGATGGGCTGACTCACAGATGTCTTGATCTAAATCCAGATGCCATCAAAGTAGAATTTGAGATTTACACCTCCCCTCTCCTTACACACGTCATTAGTTTTCATAGAAATGAAATCACTTAGACTGAAGCTAAATTTGGTCCTTTCTGTTTAAATTGGTCCTTTTCTGATAATAGCCTTCGGACCATATCCTGTTGCCCTAAATAAATACGTCAGGTGCATATTTGGGTGGTAGGTGAGCCAAAAAATGGAGCATAAACCTCGCCTCTTTTATTTACTCTTTACCCATAGGTTTTCTATTTGCCTGTGTGTAGATGGCAGCCATAATTTGTTCCTTTGTGCTGAATTTGAGACTTCACCCTCATTTGTACACATGGAGATCTTCATGACAAATTTAGTATTTTAACTGCCTATCAAAAGTAAAACCCTATTATAAGGGTTAATACTATTCTTCATACAACAGTATCTGAAATAACAACAAAGGGAATGCAGAAGTGACTGGACAAATAAACTCTCCTTAGAAGGGGTTGTTTGATATATGTTCTCTTTTAAGTTTGTTACATTGCAAACCTATCCCCATATAACCATCTTCTTGTTCCCACTCTTGATCAGAATACGCAGTAAACATTAATCTTGAGTGCAGATATTTCTTGATCAATTACAATAATTTTGTATTATTTAAACAGCAACAAACATTACATAAATTCCTAAGCCTTCATTATAAGGTAACCATCCTGATGAGAGGTCTTTTTTTGCACTGCATCTTAATTTTGTACATGTATTCATGCTGTTGTGAAGTTCTAGTTTAATTTACCTCTCTAAAACTATTGAACACAGGTATAAACAATATAATCATTAGACAAAATAGACAGAATTTAAATATAAATAGTACACAAATGTTTAAAATGCATTTTTCTTGTATTTGTAAAATAAGTAACACTGGTTATAGCAGAGGCTGGGGGATTGTGAACAGCCTCGCAAGATATCATGGTTTTCCCAGGAAAGACAAGATAATGGGTCAAATTATTTATCTATGGACCATCCCTTATCCCCATAGATGTCCAGATCTGGTCTCTTTGGCTATGTCTACACTGCAGCGCTATTTTGGGATACCAGAGGTATTCTGTGTCTTAAGAGCAAGCCCGTTATATCAAAATATAATGGGCTCGCTATTCCAATGTCCTGTAAACCTCATTGCATGAGGGATAAGGGACGTTTCGGAATAGTGCCTTATTTTTAAGTAAGGGTGCTGTGTAGATGCATCTTTTGTGTACATCTACACAGCTCCATTATTTTGGAATAACTGACATTATTTAAAAATAAGAAAGTGCGTGACATAATGTCGACATAATGTCCAGCCGGACGACTTCTCACTCCAACTCCTGTAACCCTCATTTTACAAGGATTAAGGGAAGTGAGAGGAAGAGTGCTCCATTTCGAAATAAGTGCTGTGTAGATGCACCCAATTTCAAAATAAGCTATTGCGTAATAAGCTACGCAATTGACGTAGCTCAAGTTGCGTAGCTTATTTCAAGTTTAGCCCTGCTTTGTAGACATACCCTTTCTGAAAGAAATGCTTCCAAGTTCTCAAATGCGCACATGTGCTGCATCCAAGTAGTCCTGATACAGTATCAAAAATGAGACTAGGGAGAGGGTT